CGGCGCCTCGGCAGCTCCGCGGTGTCTCTGAAGGCTTCTCAGCTGTGTTCAGTCTCTGCTGGTTTTAGCAGAAGCATCCACGTAAAGGCCCAATCTCATTCCGTAAAATCTTCCCTGCCTTCACCCTTTACCAATCCCTGGAAATCACCGTGAATTCCGGGCCCAGCCGGGCGGGAGCAGGGTCCATGCTGCAGCACCGAGGCTGTACCCCACCGCAGCTCCCACCCCACCGCAGAACTTGATGCCGGGGGCTGATCCCAGCCTCAGCCAGCGCTGCCCCGCAGCCCCCGCCTCTGCTGAAACGCCAGCTCTTTTCTTGCTCTCCCAGCCTGCGGAAGCTCCTGACCCTTCAGCCTCCTGTTACCTGTAATCAATTTGAACTGTAAATAATTTATCTGCTGTTTCTTTCTTTCTTTTTTTTTTCTAAAGGCCTTTGTACAGTTTTTGTATCCTTTTAGCGCAGCCTTGCTCCGGGCTTCTTCTCCCCTTGCCCTCCAGGTCTGCTCTGAACCTTTCTCCTGCCGTTTACACGGCTTCTGAGTGTAAAACTACGCTGAGGTTGCACTTTACTTGACGCTAATAAATATCTCTTTATTTTTTATATCCCTGGCAGCATCCCTCTGTGCGAGGCTCCTGCCTGGTTTCCCCTCCGGCCTTTCCCCAGTACTGCCAGCTTGCTGGGACCAGTGCTGGGATCCTCTGCAAAGCCAGGGGCTGGGGGGGAAAGGGGGCCAGGGGGGGCCTGTTCCCCCTCCTGAACAGCAGCGGGGCTGGTGTTAGTGTGTCACGGGCACCTCTGCAGCCACAAAACACGGCTCCCGCTCTGGGGGGGAACAAGCGGAGCCCCCCCTCCACCTGCTTAAGGACCCAGGAGTCCTTAATACCCGGTTAAAAATAACCCCGGGAGCAGATGTGAGCAGAAGTCAGCGATAATGGGGCCAGAACGCGAGGGGCTTTGCGGTGGCTTAACAGCTTACGGACTCATCCCCTGCCAGGGGCTCCCCCCTCTCCCACCCCCGGCACCGTGGCGGGGGTGGGGGGCTCTTCCTCCCCCCAAACCTTCCTCCTC